TCAAAGGAAAATTCACTCGGATGTGTATTTGAAGTAGGGGTGAGCAAAAATACCGAACCGACATGGTGTCAAACCAGATCGATATAGTACCGGACCGAAAAACGGGACTTGAAAGGGATCTCAATTTTTTTTGTTGTTGCGAACTAGACCGTACCGGTTCTAAACAATGTCATGACTGGTTAAAATTTGTACTACTATAGTTTATCTAAAATTTAATAATTATGTAAATTGATATGGTATTAAACACTTGAAAAAGTGACATTGATTGGTATTAGTATGATTTGATACCGCCCCGTTTGTAAATAGAACCGTACTGAACGAGTTTAGGTCTAAGATCGAACCGAACCGTTTCAATAGTCACGATACGGGTACGAGTTCGGCAAAATACTAGACTGGACCGGAGCGGACCCCCTAATTTAAAAAAAAATACGTATGTAGATGAGAGGATTTAACAAATACGATAGTAATATCTAAACAAGGGTATTTTAGTCAAAGAAATAGGCATTTGATGAAAATGTTGATAGAAGGGGAAGATTACAACATTAATCGTAGCTGAGGGGGTAAATAGTTGACTTTTAAAAATATAAGATTGAACTAATAATTATGATCAAACTAGAAGGGGTAATCATAATTTTCCCTTTAAATAACTTGTTGTAGCAAACTAGCAATAAAGGTCAAAATGTATGTCAAACGACTCAAACCATCAAAGTATTGATTACCTAATTTGCTGTATTGATTACCTAATTGTCACGCATTTTCAAATGTAACTTTACTTCCTCAGAATCTGTAATATGACAAAACCCACCAACTTTAAAGCAAACATTATGTTTCATTACCTAATTAACTAAAACTATAAAGCGTTTGAAGAGAAAAAGTTCCCCTTTGTTGATTCTATCTTGACATTTTATGTATCCACCACCTAATTATCTTTGGTTAGATATATACTAATATATCAAGTTTAACATTTTTAGATGACTAAATTACATTTTGTTGATATTTTATAAAATGAAAAGAATCTCATGGGTTCCCCTACTCCAATATGAAACTCTTTGTAAAATCAAATTTTATAAAAGTTCAAGTGCTGTTATTAAATAGAATTACTTATAATTTCAGGTAAGGGAACCCATAAAACTTTTTTAATTTTATAAATATCAACAAAGTTTAATTTAATCATCTCAAAATGTTAAGACTAAACATGAAATATAATAGGGACCTAAATCCAAGATAATTAGGTTGTGAATCCATACAATGTCAAGATAGACTCAAGAAAGGGTAGATTTCTCTATTCTAACACCTCAGTTTTATTTAATTACTCTCTCCGTCCCCCTAACTTTGTCCCGTTTTACTTTTTTCGTCCGTCCCATTAAGTTTGTTCCATACCATATTTGGTAATATTTGTGTGGTTACAATTTATTCTTACTTTATTCACTTTTTATTAACTCAATAGCATTCACACAATTCCATTTTTTCTTAAAAGTTGTGCCACACTCCATTGTCCCAAACATAGTGGACGGAGGTAGTAATAAGTAATAAAACATAGATGTTGTTGTAAAGTTAGTGGGGTTCTGATACTGCAGATCCCAAGGATCTTTGTAAACTTTCAATTGAAAATACATTTGTCTTTGGTTGGTTGCATGACCATGTGATTTGACCTTTACTCAAAAAGTTATTTATATAATCCATTCTCCGGTTCTCCCTCAGACCATTTGCAATCCAGGGGTGGATATGATAGATTTGATATTTTCACCCTCAAATTTCATACAACCCTTGTATTTGAGGAGGGGATAATGGATTGGTGAAATCTTAGGTGTCGGAATAATCATCCGTGTATTCACTCCACTCCAAAACAATAAGGCTAACCGCAACTCAGCCCGTCAATAAATCTAATTTCCTACCAATTTATATGTATTCACTCAATCAATTCAGTTTTTTCCAGCAACCCAACACCGTCAATATATTCACTTAGCACATATTTTTTTAACTAAATGCATAAATCCTTAAAAAAATTATTGCACATTAGTTATGCGACAATTTTATTTTATCGATAATTGTGATTTAAAACACTACAAAAAAAACGGGATTGTCACGTAATTTGGCACGGACTTATAAATTTTCCGTGCCAAATAGCTCGTGCCAAAGTGTTTTTGGCACGGATTTGGCGTATCCCTGCCAAAATCCGTTCCAAAATCCCTGTCAATCCTGTATTTTTTTGTAGTGAAAAGTTAAACATTCAGATGTAAAAATATATAAATTTAGAGTTTAATTTTTTTGAGACCGGTTTTTAAAAAATAAAATAAAAAATAGATGTAAAAATAGTATTTGAACTATGAGAACATAATTTTAGCACTTAGATTTGTTCAAGAAAAAAATTGGGTTTGAGAATCTCGAGCAGTTGAAATTTCAATTTTTTTTTTAATTTAGGGAAAACTGTCAAATAGGTCCTCGAACTTTCATAAAAAGATCAATTAAGTCCTTCTATAGGAGGTTCTGTCTGGCTGTCGCGATTTGGGGCAGTTCCCAGTGGAATTGTTTGATGAAATTTTTTGAGCATCTTATTCACCAAGTCTAGTTTACTCATACTAAATTTCAGCTAAAAATTCAATCGGGAACACATTCAAATTAATTCTTGAAGATAACTGCACATTTTTGCGTTCTCGAATTAATTTGAACGTGCTCCCGATTAAATTTTTAGCTGAAATTTGGTATGCGTAAACTAGACTTGATGAATAAGATGCTCAAAAAATTTCATCAAAAAATTCCACCGGGAACCGCCCCAAATCGCGGCGACGGGACAAAGTCTCCTATAGAAGGAGACTTTTGATATATTTGGTATGAATTTTGATATATTTTTAGTAAAAATTGAATTTCTCATATAAAAGTTATGGCACTTTAAAGATTAATGGGATTTTTATTTAAGTTGGGTCCCAAGAAATTCTTCCATTCACGCATCACCTTTCCTGTGCATCGGTTCTCATTTCCGTCTCTTTCTTCTGTCAATAGGGGGTATCACCTATCCCTCCCATGAGTTTTCCTAATTGACTTTGAGGCCTTGGGAATACATATTTTAAGTTGGGTTGCAGCCATTTTGGGGTGAAAACTAGGGGTGGGCAAAAGACCTAGTCCCATTGGTCCGTTCCGGACTGTTCCGGTTCCGTCCCGAAATTGTCCCGTTATATTTGGGATACATTATTTTTGTCCCGTACCGGTTCCGAACCGTTTTAAAACAAAACAGGATCGGGACAAGTAAAATATATCCCGTTCCGTCCCGTTGTCCCGAATCCAAAATTGTACATAGTACTTTGTAGTAGGTTAATGAGTTTATTAACAACTCATTATGTAATCTAAATAATAATAGTTATTCTTTTTTCACAACCCAAATACAAATAATTATTAAATTCTAGTTGATTGATAATGTAACACCTAAAAAACTCTAAACTACTTACTATCACATACTATGAACTATCATCTATCTACAAAAAAAAAGAAACTGATTTTTACTCTCAAAGTATTCTTTTATCATTTTATCATAGATTTCTTGATAGATTTTTGTGATATAGTTTTTTCTGCTGCAACTTTTGTTTCATGCAGCTAATCTGGTAAGTTGCATTTTTTTCTCACAATTTTCTATATTAGATACAGCTTTTTTGTCATAGACTTTTCTTGCGCTAGTGTTTTATTTTAATTTTTTCAAATAGCTTTGTTTTGTTTTTCGATTGAAATTGTTTGACTACAATTTTTTGGGATGTCCCGAACCGTCCCGTTTTGTCCCGGTACCGGTTTAAACGGGACAACAAAAGGACAACGTCTTGTCCCGTCCCGTCCCGAACCGTTATTGTAAAACGGGTTCGGGACCGGGACAACCCAATTCCCGTTCCGTCCCGGACCGTACCCACCCCTAATGAAAACCTTACATTTGGGGTTTTCACCCCTCCCATTGCAGTCAGCCTAAAGGAAGTTGCTGACTAAAATTAATTGAGAGACATGTTGCCAGAACTTTGTCAGAAGAAAAGTAAAAGCATCGGTAATGTGCACTATTGCTATTTGACATTCCAAAGACGTTTATTTAATGGATAGATGAATGGCTGGGGTTAAATGAAACCTTTTTTCAACGGGAATAAAAATAATTTTCAAACAAAGCAAAAATAAAGAGAAAACGAAGACTTATCGTGTGTTCGTATGATCAACGTTATCACATTCTTTCAATATTCTTGACCCAGTGTACCATTGGAGGTTTATTTTCTAACTTGCTGTGACTACTGCATGGATCATAAGAAGTCAAAGAACAACATATTCCATAGATATGGAAATGTGTTTTTCATGTAAAATCAAGAGACAAAGGCTGTCTCGCAAAATAACAATGAGGGAACACGCACCCTTGTGAGTTGTGATTTGCTAATGAGAAGAAACCTTGTACGTGGAGAGATGAGTTTTGCTTCCCACACAGTGGCGGAACTAGAAAATAATTTAAGCGGGGGCAGAATCACATAATGTAAACTATCACATTAATTAACAATATTGTCTTAACAAATCACGCCAATAAAACATAACAAATTTAGGATGTTTTCTTTTGGACTGTTTTCAGTCCCAGACCAGACCAGATCAGACCAGGCCAGACTTCCGTAGTTATAAAATATACACAGAGACCAGACGTTTACCAGACCAGAATAGACCAGACCAGTTCAGACCAGATTAGATCAGACCAGCAAATTTAAGTCCAAAAGAAAACATCCTTAATCCTCAATCACATTATCTAACCGTATTTTCATCAACAATAGATTATCTAATCCTACTCCCACTCTATATCTATAAGTGTAGCTCGAACAGAAACATTAGAAAAACTAGCACTCGAATTCAACTTAGCTTTGGTTCGAGGAAAATATTTCTCAATTGACATTCCCTAATACTCCGTAATAATTATCCAAAATAAAAAAAAAATCAATTCAAACTATTATAAATTCATAATTTAATACCAAGAATGCATGGAAAGTGTTGACAATGCGGTAAATTGGAATAAAATGTGATGGCATTTTCATGAACATTTTCATCATCATGAAAAAGTGTAATTTTTATACTTAAAAGTACAACTTAGTGATAGTGCAATAAATATTAAAGTTTAACACTTTTCATACGGAGTATTACATACTCTTTTATTTGACGTTTTGAACTACACTACAATTGCGATTACCAAATAGCTCAATTGATTTGAGACCATTGTTGTAAATTAGTCTTCTAGAATTGTAGCTGTTGAAATGGGAATTTGGGAATGCCGGATAGTAGTACCATTACCAATCATCACCTATAACATCAAACAGTAGCACAGGGGAAAAATGGGAAAACAGAAAGCCTTCTTGCGCGGGCAGGGGCGGATTTGCGTAAAGGTATGGCAGGATGCCCGGATTTGTGTTTTCTTTGCTTCGTTTGGGGCTGTTGCGTGTTGGGCCTGCCTTGGCCCGATCCTTTTTTTGTCCCACATAATACAAAACGGTGTCGTGCCATTTTAAAAAAATCACCTCCATCGATCGTCCTGTCCAGCGGAAGTCAGAAGCAAAAATACAGGTCCCAAGCTTCGCCGGAAATAATGGAACGGTGCAGTCCGGCGGACCCCAAACCATACCTATTCCCTAACTCTCACGATCGGAGCAGGGGCACCGGCCCCCTGGCCCCCCTGCCAGATCTGCCCCTGTTCCCACATAAATGGTTTGGGGTAATATCTCAACAAACTAAATACTCCGTATATGAAATAAATCAAATTTGGTTAGTTCAAAATTTCAAATTCACATGAGTACCTTTATGTGATGAGGTTCAATGAATCTATACGCGCATGAATCATCATTCGCATCTAGACCTGCACAACAAGGGTCGGCCGACCTAGCCCGCACACATAAATGGCCGGGCTTAGGCATATATATGGGCGGGCTTGGGTTAGGGTGTAGGCCCATTCGGGTCGATAAGTCTAACCTGCTACATTTAGTAATTTATTTACTTCCTTGTTTATTTATTTATTTATTTGTTTGTTTGTTTGTTTGTTTGTTTGTTTGTTTGTTTGTTTGTTTGTTTATTTATTTATTTATTTATTTATTTATTTATTTATTTATTTATTTATTTGGTTATTTATTTATTTATTTATTTATTTATTTGGTTATTTATTTATTTATTTATTTATTTATTTATTTACATGTAAACATGTATGTTTACATTTACTAATTTATATTTATACATAGTTATGGTTTATTATGTTTAAATTTAAGTTTTAGTTTTAACAACTAGCTCAATCAATAAAATATCTACTTTTATACTTTTTAAGTTTTAATTATATTTTTTCATGATTATTTTTGTGTAAGTATTTTTTGTATATGTGGTGAGAGAGACCTATAAACATTATAAGCATATTAGTACTTTTTAAAATGTTATAATACTCCTCCGTCCCGAAAATGTTGTCCAAAGTTGACTTTTCCGTGGATTAATAAAGTAAAAACTGTATGGTTGAAATTTGTGCAGAGGAGAGAGAATTAATTGTAGCCACATATTTCTTACTTTAAATAGAAATGGTAAATCTTTTTGGAACATCCAAAAAAAGAAATTTGGCCAACCTTTTCGAAACGGAGGAAATATTATTTTAAAAGGTAACTGCTTGGTCCGCTTTTACGGGCGGGTATGGACATGAGGTTAGGGCAGTTTGGTGCAGGCCGGGCCGGTCCCGCTCACATCAATGGGCACAATATTTAGAAAAAGCCCTGCCTGAACCCGGCTGGAACTCGGCCCAAACCTCGCCCGAACCCAGCCCGAATGCGGCCCGAATGCGGCCCAGACCCAGTTTTGTGCAAATTTATTCACATCCCTATAGTAGAAAAGCTTCTAGGGTCAAAAGAGATGATACATATATGATATTAACACATTTGAGTACTCTTCCGGTCAGGAATTCCTGACCGGAACCGCCGTCCGGACGGCGGCGTTTGGCCGCCTTCCGGGTGGAATTTTTCAATGAAATTTTTATGACATGTTCTCCATCAAGTCTAGTTTATCAACAAAAAAATTCAGCCAAAAACTCATTCGGGAAGGTCATCAAATGATTTTTGCAAGTTAACTGGTCCGGAAAATACATATTGCGGACCAGTTAACTTGCAAAAATCATTTGACGACCTTCCCGATTGATTTTTTGGCTGAATTTTTTTGTGGATAAACTAGACTTGCTGGAGAACATTCCATAAAAATTTCATCAAAAAATTCCACCGGGAAGGCGGCCAAACGCCGCCGTCCGGACGGCGGTTCCTGTCCGGAATTCCGGACATGAACTTTTGTCTAACACATTTATGAACAACAAAATCATATATCTAGATAGACATTTATATCAATTTTGTGACATGGGGTACTTGGGGCCTGTTTACTAACATAAATATTTTCCGTTTTCCCAAAAATTGGGAAAACTGGAGATAGAAAAATTAGAAAACGTGTTTACCTAACCGTTCTCCAAATTAAAAAACGAGACATGTCTAGCCTTTTCCTTCTGAAATAGAAAAACGGCATTTAGACGTTTTCACATTTTAGAAAACGCAAAGCTACAGTGATAGCCTATTTACTCGCTCGCCTTCCTCCGCTTACCTTCCTCCGCCTTTACTGCGCTCTACCTTCCTGCGAGTTCAAGGTAAGCCGATTTTTACTCTTTGCCTTTACCGCGCTCTAGCTTCCTCCGCCTACCATCATTACATCTCCGCCAAACCCCTGCAAGTTGAAGACCGTCTAACCACTTCCCTATCCTATTAATGTTTCATTTTCATAGATCTAGACAGACGTCACTTATAAATCAAATGCGTCAAGTTTATGTCTATCCACAAGTCATAGATCTAGACAATTCTATTAAATAATCTACGTTTTGTTTTTCTATGCGTCAAGAGTTGTGCACCTCCCATCCTCACATTCATAGAAGAATTATAGGTATACTTAGAGTGCATTTAAAGACCTAATTTGCCTGTATGAAGGATGGGAGGTGTAGAGCATCGGTCTCTTTGGACGAAGGAGGCGTATAATGTGGTGAGGATTGGGATAGGAATTTATATACTTAGAGTTTGGGAGGGGTAGGTACATACTACCTCCGTCCCAGGGAGAAGTTCTCGATTTCCTTTTTTGGCAGTCCCAACAAAAAGTTCTCATTTCCTTAAATGGAAAGTTATCCTACATAAAAACAGTGCCAAACAGTGCCAAACAATGTCAAAACAGTGCCAAACAGTGTCGAAACAGTGCCAAACAGTAAAATTTACCCCTCAGTAACTTTATTTCCTTAATATGTGTGAAAGTCAACCCGGGAACTTCTCCCTGGGACGGAGGGAGTATTTATTACATTCGGAATGGGTAGATAGGACTGGACGATTTAAGTCGAAAAGGTTGGGTTGGATCAAAATTGGGCTAGGTTGGTTCCGTAATTGGGGTGGATTTGGTTGAGTTCAAATGGGATGGAAATAACAAATTCAGCTGGGTTTTATCCAAATTTCAATGGGCTCAAATTTATTGGGTTCATTATATTTGTAATTGTTAGACGATATAATTTATATTATGTATAATGATAATAACAAAATCAATAAATATAAATTCAATAGACTACCCGGCCCAAACCCAGCTCGATTGCAGCCCGAACCTGGCCCAATCCCCGCTCGGACCTAGCCCGAACCCGACCCAAACCTAGTTTTCTGCAGATCTATTCGCACCCCTGTAATATAAAAGCTATGTGGGTCATATATCATCATTTGGACAAACAAACAATAAATATAGCCAATTTTATTAGATAAAGTACATTTGTATCTATGAGACCATACCAACACTTACTATAACACACATGTTTTTTTGAATTCATCATAAAGGAAAACCTTACATACTTCATATTAGATTTTGTAAGCAAACACAAATGGGTTACAAACAAATTAAACACATTCTCATTTATCTAACATACCTATAATCTAACATTTTTATGGTAATCTAATATTCCTTGAACCAAACGGCCCTTAAAGTTATATTTAAAAATTCATTCATATATACTGATAACTTTGGTGAGATTTCGGTTTATACTATTTAACATTCGTTAATTGCTAGATATATAATCTAATAATCTATTTGATTTAATCACAACTTCAAATAAAGCAACTAATGAAGCAAAAAGTGCAAAAATTGTTACATATAATAAAATCTTCCATTTGTCGCTTTTGAATTAGAAAAGGACATAAAAATAGGCATGGGAATGGGTCGGGGCGGGTGAGGTAGTGCAGGAACCGGACCTACGCCATGACATAACTAGGTGGAACCGCCCATGACCCGCCCCATGCGGGGCAGCCCCCCCGTTCCGCCCTGCAGTAACCTAATAGCTAGTGCACATTTTTAGTTGCGTGAAGTCATTAAAGCTTGAACTTTGCATAATGTTTATCTCCAAATAATTATAAAAACAAATTTAATAAATCAAAGTCACAATACAATAAAAAGTTTCAAAAATTAAGAAAAAATTATTTGGACTTGAATAGTTTACTACTACGTATTTATTTATGAATAAATGAATATATAGAGGCTAAATATAAAAAGGCTAAAGGGTCAAATAGGTCCTTGAACTAACTTAAAGTGTTCAATTAGCCCCTTATATAGAAGGTTCTGCCCGGCCGTCGTTATTTGGGGCGATTCCCAGTGGAATTTTTTGATGAATTTTTTTGATTACCTTCTTCATTAAGTCTAGTTTATCCATATCAAATTTCAGCTAAAAAATCAACCGGGAAGGCAGTCAAATGATTTTCCGAAATGTACTGCGCTGTTTAACTTCGCAGCTACCTTCAAAAAATTATTTGACTGTCTTTCTGGTTGAATTTTTAGCTGAAAATTTGGTATAAGTAAACTACACTTAATGAAGAAGATGCTCAAAAAATTTCATCAAAAATTCCACCGGGAACCGCCCCAATTGGCGACGGCCGGGCAGAACCTCCTATATAAGGGGCTAATTGAACACCAAGTCAGTTCAAGGGCCCATTTGACCCTTTAGCCAATATAAAAAACACATAGACAATTCATTTTTCATATAGTTCAAAATGTAAATATTAATATATTAAAAGACTAAGGAATTAATGAATTATTACTCATATGTGTGTGTATTTGTAGTATACTTAAAAAAGGATATACTTCGTATATTTTTATATTGAGTGGGTCGGGTCGGGGCAACTTGCGTCAATACTAATACCCAGACCCGTCTCATTTTATGCACAGGACGGGCGGCTCCACCCTATTTGCAAGATGGGGTAGTGCGGACCCACTCAAATGCCCGGGCAGGGCGGGTCTCCATAGGCCGGTTTTTTTTACATGCCTACATGCAACAAAGAGTAAAGCAAAAGGAAAAAAGGAAATGATATAAACTTAGTTTATAATATTGTGAATAAGATCAGAGAGCAACATTACAAAATGTGTATCGCCGATCAATACTTAGAATTGAACAATATATCAGTTGGATCTAATGAAGACCTAGCTTCTGATATCTGAATAAGGAAGAAATCTTAGAGCATCACTGATTCAATTCCTACATAGAATGGATCATCTACCCACTTGGACCTAAGACATGTCTAAGCCTAATCTAAAACTATCGCTTTGTATATAGCTCGCTTCGACTACTCTGTCAGTCCTTGAAAAGTTGGGGATTTTTTTAATTTTTTTAAATGTGTAGTGACATTAGACAAAAACAGAGACACAATATTAGACTAATCCACACGTCTAAATCTCACCAAAAGTGGTTAGGAGTTACGTCTTAATCCGCTAAAACTACATTCGATTAGAGTCTTAGACTAGTTAATTCAAAATTCAAATACTTATATTGAGATTTCTATGTTTGGTCATCGTCATCATCATTACCCC